TTCTGCTGACAAGCTTTATGGAGATGCTGATTTCATTTTCCAGCAGGACTTGACACCTGCCCACACTGCCAAAAGCACCAAAAGCTGGTTCAATGACCATGGTGTTACTGTGCTTGATTGGCCTGCAAACTCGCCTGACCTGAACCCCATAGAGAATCTATGGGGTATTCATAACTAGTGGATACCTAGCTGCTAAAACTCTGCATATGTGGTATCTGGCAGATATTGTGTCTCGTTTTAAGCAAAAACTCAGTTAAATTTGATATTTTATGTTCAAGACTGAATATATTAAGTTATTTTGCTTCTCAAGTAAATGTGTTTTATGGAGGTGTCTTTAAGAATATACTAAAAAAAAGACTGAAAAATCACTGGTAACAATTTACTTAAAGCCTTTATGTACAATGCATTATAAGGCATATCTTTTCATAATTAATTGTAACCAAAGTTGAAATGCATTATAGTATTTGCAGATTTCTTGTTACACTGCAAAAAATTATTTTCTTACTAAGTAGGCTATTTTTGTCTTGTTTTCTAGTATAAATATTAAAAAAAATCTTTAATCAAGATACATTTATTTTACAAGTAAAATGACTTAATATATTATGTTTTGTTTTCTGAAAGAAATATCAAAATGTTTAGATATTTATACTAGAAAACAAGACAGAAATACTAAGTAAGAGAATTTTTTTTTTTTTAGTAGTGCACATCTGAAATTAGTTTTAACGCATTTTACTTTCATAAGGAATAGGGTTGCAAAGGGGTGGAAAATTTCCTGTAAATTTCCGGGAAACTTTCCAAAAATCCCTGGAATATAAAAAAAAAAATCCTTTTTGCAACCCTAGTAAGGAATAGATATTATATACAATTATTCATGAGCTCATATAATGCATGTGCATTACAATGCAAAATTAATGCATCAAAATACTTTTATAATGCATTATGTATAAAGACTTCAAGTAAATTTTTATGCAAATAATTGAATAATTCTGCACCAAAATAGTAATAACTTACTTTCATATGACCTTTCCTGTGTGTTTTGCCTCTGAAAGTCACAGTACATTTTCATCAGTATATTAGTACAGAACAATTTCCATCTAAAAAATCAAGACTGTTTGATTCCTTCACAGTTTGATTATTGCCCCTGCTGAACTTCTCCAGGCTCCTCAGAAGGACATCGTTTGGTGGAGGGGAGCGGCAGCTCTTAAACACCCAGCGGCTGACGACACGAGATGATGATCATGAGTCTGTCAACCTGCTGCAAACCCATCTCAGCGAACACGCAATCTCCCAGAGCTGTAAACTCACTTACACCCAAACACACATATCATCTGACCTCCAACACACACTCGTTTAGCGCTTAAAGGGACGGTTCAAATGAAATGAAAATGCATTAACTCCTCATTCCCTTTAAATGGTTTTCTGGGCCCATATGTGCACAAAGTTTAATTTGGAAATTGCATGTTTTGCTTTCCGCATTGGACTGGATCACTATGAATGATCCTGATACAAATGTCCCAAATTTACCAAATCTGGATTGCATATCTCCCATTTGCAGTTTCTTTTAAAGAATAATTATCACATTATATATTTATTACGATGTCATCAGCGTTAAACCACTCAAAAGCTGTTTCTAACAACTGCATCCTTCTTTGCATGTGCACAACCAGTCAAAAGTTTAGAATATTTGTTTGTTTTTTATTATTAATGTTTCTGAAAGTAGTTTTTTCTGCTCACCGAGGCTGTATTTATTTTATCAAAAATACAGTAAAAGCAGTAAAATTGTGAAATAGTATTACAATTTTAAATAACTGGTTTCTATCTGAATATATTTTAAAATGTAATTTATTTAGAGCATATTAGGAACAATTTCTGAAGGATCATGTGACACTGAAGACTGTGTAGTAAGGATGCTGAAGATGTTTGCATCACAGGAAGATATTATATTTTGCAGTATATTCGCATGGAAAACATTTATTTTAAATCATAATAATATTTTACGGTTTTGCTGTTTTTACTGAACTTTTAATCAAATGAATGCAGCCTAGGTGAACAGAAGAGGATGTGTGTGTGTGTGTGTGTGTGTGTGTGTGTGTGCTTGCGTGTGTGTGTGCTTGCGTGTGTGTGCACTAATAAAAATAGCAAAAATACACAACAAAATTACAATACATTTTAAACACATAAAACACAAAAACAAAAGATACAAATTAAACTAAATTCAAAATATTACCAAAAAATATAATAGTCAAATTTTTTGACTCAAGATTATGCTTGAATTTTGTATTTATTTATAATCTTTAAATGAACAATTTCTCTAAAACTAAGACTAATTTGATAAAGAAAGGTTTATTTCGTTTTAAAGCCAGTGCCTTTTCTCTTGTTCACAACCATTATAGAAATGCTGGATATAAATATCAGTCTGTTTTCTGTTTGCAGATATTGCTTGAAGTAGTCAGATGATATGCCTGTTTTTTTATTAAGAATATATTATATATTATGAATTTATAGGACTCGAGTGTCTCATTAGAGAAAGTAATGATATTAATATGGTCTGCAGTTAACAATTAACTAATGTTAACAAATGTGACCTTATTTCGAAAATGTTGCCTTCATATGATCATAAATAATCTGCGCATGCAATTCCTTTGTCGTGTAATGTAGTTCTTTATTAAAATCATGTGGTTTATAATATTACGAGAATTTGAATTGCAAGATATAAATTTAGTCATTTAGAGCAACAAATTCAGAATTGTGAGGTAAAGTTACAATTACATTGTTTTTTTTAATTCTGCGGCACAAAACAAAAACTAATTCCTAAATATGAATTTAGAGTCTGTTTTCTGTTTGCAGATATTGCTTGAAGTAGTCAGATGATACGCCTGTTGTTTTATTAAGAATATATTATATATTATGAATTTATAGGACTCGAGTGTCTCATTAGAGAAAGTAATGATATTAATATGGTCTGCAGCTCATTAGTTTTATTAGTTGGAGATCTCTGTGAATTTCTTCTGCGGGTTTAATCTGCTCTGCCAATGAGACGAGACACGCTTCAGAAACATCATTCAACATAAACAGAAGTAAAAATGTGAAACAACTAAATTGGCTTATTGCTATTATGAAACATCTGAAAACAGTAAAATAATAAGATACAAAAATCATTTAAAAAGGTAACACTTTACAGTCAGGTTTCTGCATGAACAGATACAACTTTTGGTTTTAATAATATATTAGTAAATGTTGAAATTAACATTAACCTTCTGTTTCATAAGTAATTTTCATTGGCTGTTCATGTTATTTAATGTATAATTATTATGATATAAATGTATTGCTTATTGTTAGCTACATAATGCATTAACTAATGTTAACAAATGTGACCTTATTTCGAAAATGTTGCCTTCATATGATCATAAATAATCTGCGCATGCAATTCCTTTGTCGTGTAATGTAGTTCTTTATTAAAATCATGTTTATAATATTACGAGAAGTTTGAATTGCAAGATATAAATTTAGTCATTTAGAGCAACAAATTCAGAATTGTGAGGTAAAGTTACAATTACATTGTTTTTTTTAATTCTGCGGCACAAAACAAAAACTAATTCCTAAATATGAACTTAAAATTGCGACTCAGAAAGTAGTCGATAAAAAAGTCACAATTAGCTTTAGTTCTTTTTTTAATTCCATGGCGGAAGCAAGCTTATAAAATGTAGCTCATCCAATCAGAACATAATTTATGTATCATATGTGACTGTAAAACATTATATGATTATAAAATGTGAATTCCTTGAATCTCAATTGCTAATTAAAGTACTTATGAAGAAAATGGCTTGCGCAACTCTTCATAAAGTAAGCTGCGTTGCAAAGGAATTATCTGCCAGGAAAATAAATGCAAATAAAAATAATACAAAGGCTTGTGTGTTAGTTCAGTGCTCTAGAGTGATTCAACACACAGCTCTGTTGTTGTTGTTGTTGTTGTGTAAAATAGGCAATAAAAGCAGCAGTCCGAGGTATTTTTAACCCAGTCTTTGAATCTGTGCTGAACCAGGACCACCAAGAACCGTTCACTGAACCGCTGACTAAACAATCACAGCCTCTCATTACACACAGTATATCAAGCTTTGCATGCATACTGTAATATCCACCTTCCGTTTGAAAAGATGCAAATGCTTTTGGTGTCTGAAACAAATAGTGACAAATAGTTCATTCTGTGGCACCATTATTTATAGTAAAGAATGGTCTCGGATTGCAGACTTAAAATGGACTGTGGTGTAATCATGACTTGAAAAGACAATGTTGCTAACTTGAAGTATGTTGCATGTTTATGTTATAACCTATGCATACTGATGCTTTAAATTAATGTTTTTAATGTTATGCATGAAAACGAAATTTTTCCATTTGAGTGTTATGATTCAATGCAATTGCTTTTAGAATTCCTCAAAATGACTAATAAATGCATTGATCGATGTTAATGTTATGTAATGCATTAACTAGCGTTAACCAATCTGACCTTATTTCTTACGAGTCACCTTCAAATTATCATAAAGTCTGAACATGTTTGATTTCATGCATGGAAATGAAATTGTTTCCATTTGAGTATTATGATCCAATGCAATTGCTTTAAAACAAACTCCAAAACTCCTCAAAATAAAATGATTTGAGCTGCTCAGTCTGTGTCTGTGTTGTTTAATTGATCGTGTTTCAGTAGATGGGTGTTTTTACTGGGTTTCTCTCAGTTTAGCTCCTCCTTCCTCAGGCTTGGGTTTCACAATCGCTGTTCTCCAGCTCTACTCTGAGGTTCTGTGCAGACAGTGAAGCACCTCACGGGATCCTCATGGAGTTTATTCATGTGTGAGTTCATTCTGTGTTTTTTTTACTTGCTGCTGTTTAGTCCTGTTGCATCTATCAAGTATATGAAAACCGGGAGAATATTTATAACAGGATGCTGTGGTACTTTATTCTGGTGGATTCTATGTGAAGCTGATGTAAGTGAGATCTGCTTGAAGGAAATTGCTGGTGCTGCTGGTCAGTTTTTGTGGCTCCGGCGGGGTTTGTCCGCGGCAGTGCATCTGCTCTGCTCCTGCTGAAGTGCACTGCACCTTCCGTGCGCTCCTGACCGTTCCCACGGGCATCTCCAGACAGGTCCAGCGCATTAACTTTGGGCAAGTCATGGCAGAAACTGAAGGTTTATCATAGGATCATGTATCTGAAATATTAAGAGTGATTGATTCCTTTTGGAATCAAAACTCTTTATAATCTTGACAAAATACATATCGTCGGAAAGGTCTGAGTCTCAAGATTTCATATTTTGTTATAGAAGTAATACTGAGAGATACATTTATACATTTGTGACAGAAAAATGCATAAAAAAAATCAATGGAGTTTGGATGGCACCTGGTGGCTGTTTGAGGTATAACACCTAAACAAAATTGCATAGGAACCTCAACTTTTTTAATATCAACTTCAAATTTGGAACATAACTCATTTAGACTTATGGCTTTAATCTCATATCAATATATAAAATATAATATAATATAAATATAATATAATCAAAATAGTACAGTACAGTACATTTTCTTTACAGTAAATTTAAACTTCTATAACTGTTTATGCTTTCATTTTTTTGCAATGATTTCACTTCTGCAATGATCTGCTGATTGTCTTCTTTAAAAAATAGATCAACCTTATGTCTGTATTCAAAACCGTTCATGAATTATAACAATTTAAGTTTGAATAGTGCACTTTCACGTATATGTTCAAAGGGGGGGGGGGTGACAGTTAAGAGTTAAACCATTTTAAGCATTTAAAAGTCAGTTTCTGTACAAGCTCAAACCTTAAAGTGTTAATTAAAAAAACAAACAGTTAAGAGTTAATGTAACACTCATTGACACTATATATGGGGTAAGTTGTCACATCTGACTAACTGTTATAAGAAACCTCAACAGATTGCACAGCGAAAATTGCTTTCAGCAAAACTTCAACTAAAGCAATTATTAGATTTACTGAAGAAATTGAGAGTAGTTCTATTCAAGCAAACGTGTTCTGGTATTCTGGTCTCAAGATAATATCTCAGGTCTCTCGTGTATGTAAAAATCATGAGTCTCGCAAACTTTAAGACTTTAATACTTAGTCAATACTATGGTGTGATCACAGGATAGAATTTAAAAAATATTGCATTATTAGACCGCTTTCAACCACATATTTGAAATCAACATGCAAAGAGAGAAAATAAGCATTTGTATCGTGACTTTTTGCTCAAAACCACACAGTTGCTGAGATATTGTAGACCTTGAGACAACTTCTCTGTGACAACTAGCCCCAACCTTTCATACTATATATGTGTACATACAAATTAAGCATTTTTATTTATGCATTTAGTTTTTATCCAGAGTGAGTTACAAAAGAGGAACAACAATATTTGTACACTTCAGCATAAAGAAATAAACACAATGGTAACTATGCATTTGCTCTCTAACAGGTTTAACACTATAAATCACATCACAGACGTTTCCTTTGCTGGCCTTCGAAAACTAGAGCTGCTCATGATGCATGGCAACAACGTGCAGAAAATACCCGATGCTGCTTTTCAGGATCTGCTTTCATTACAGGTAAAATCACAGTCATCTGGTGAAGCACAGTAGAAGTCCTTCATGTGCGTAGCTCTAATTAATTAGGTCTAACTTAAAAAGGTTAAAAGTAAAAGTGACTATGGTGTTATGTTAGATTTCAAATGTTAAAAAGACTACAGCTGTAAGCGATGCATTGTTGTTTTGTCAAAATGACTCACTGTGAGTTCACTGTGTTCCCCGCAGGTTTTAAAAATGAGCTACAACAAACTGCGAGTCCTTACCGGTCACACCTTCTCTGGTTTGACGGCTCTTGTTAGACTCCATCTGGACCACAACCGCATCGAGTTCATCCACCCGGATGCATTCAGTGGCCTGACCTCACTGCGTCTGCTCCATCTAGAGGCCAACCATCTGCAAAAGCTCCATCCTGCTACATTTAGTACGTTCTCGCTGCTGCAGCGTTTTTCTGTGTCTACCCTGAAGCATCTGTATCTCTCTGAAAACCTCCTCAGCACGCTGCCCAGAAACATGCTGGAGAGCATGCCGCAGCTGGAGAACCTCTTCTTATACGCAAACCCGTGGAGCTGCGACTGCCGGATGAGCTGGTTACAGGACTGGAGTGCACGAAATCCAGGTAATTAGTTTCTGAGTGCTTCAGATGATCGTTGTCCAGATGTCACACTGTATAAACTTAGATATCGTATCCTGTTTCCTGTTTGTGCAGCAGTAGTTGAGTAGTGTTGAGGTTTGAGGTCAGCTCAGGTTGTAGTCTTTTGGTTCTGTTTTCATTCAGAATTCAGAATGCATATAGATTGCAATTTAATTTTCTAAAGAAATAAAGAAAATCTTCCAAACTTCTATTATAATAAAACAGTTATTTATATGTGTGTACATATATACATGTATGTGCGTGTTTGTTTGTGTATATAACAAGCTGAATAAATGAGCTTTCCATTGAGGTATGGTTTGTTAGGATATGACAATATTTGAAAATCTGGAATCTGAGGGTGCAAAAAAAAATCAAAATATTAAGAAAATCACCTTTAAATTTCCAAATGAACTTCTTAGCGATGCATATTACTAATCAAAAATTACATTTTGATATATTTATGGTAGGAAATTTACAAAATATCTTCATGGAACATGATCTTTACTTAATATCCTAATGATTTTTGGCATAAAAGAAAAAATTATAATTGTGACCCATACAATGTATTGTTGGCTATTGCTACAAATATCCCCCAGCGACTTAACACTGCTTTTGTGCTGCAGAGACACATATACATATGTATGTGTATATATATATATATACTGCCTTTCGAAGGTTTGGGGTCACTATATTTATATTTATTGATTTATGAAAGAAAATAATACTTAAATTAATAAAACTAATAAAAAGTGATAGTAAATAAATACATTTATATTATTACAAAAAAAATCTATTTTGAATAAATGCTGTTTATTCAATAAATGCTTTTTAACTTTTTATCAAAGAATCCTGAAAAAAAGTATCACAGGCTCCATAAAAATATTAAGCAGATTAACTGTTAACTGCGAAATATGAACTGTTTGATAATAAATCAGCATATTAGAATGATTTCTGAAGGATCATGTGACACTGAAGACTCTAGTTATGGTTGGTGAAAATTCACTTTGTCACTACTGCAATAAATTATATTTTAAAATATATTAAAATAGAAAACCATTATTTCAAATTGTAAAAATATTTCTCAATATTATACTGTTTTTAATGCGTTTTGATCAAATAAATGCAGCCTTGATGACCATAAGAGACTTATTTAATAAACATCAACAATCTTCTTCTTTTTGAAAAATCTGCACGTATGTTTTAATATTTATATTTTAACAAATGTATTTTATATTTAAAAAAATGTATCTGCTGTTGTTTCTATTTGGGCCTCTAACTTTTTTTCTTCAAAAAATATCAAAATTAGAGATGTTTGAGTATTTAGAACACTGAGTGAAGAACAAATTCCATCTTCTGAAGTCTGGATTTGTTTCGTTTTCCTAGGAGTGATGAAATGCAAGAAGGACAGAACATTTGCCAGCGGTCAGCTCTGTCCACTGTGCGCGTCTCCTAAACACCTTAAAGGACAAGACATCTCGGATCTCAAAGAGTTCGTCTGCTCTGGACCAGCTATCAGCTCTCCAGGAAAGAACGTCTCACAAGAGAACAACATGAGTGAGCTTCTGCCCATCGACAGGATCAAACCACCATTTGGAAACGTCTCCCTTGGTTTATCCGACGAGCATGGGACTAAAGTTGACTTGATCTGCCAAATACTTGAACCAAGAGAATCCACTAAAATCAGCTGGAATTATACAAAATCTCTCGAGATCGCTGCTAACGTGACTCTCTTCTTTGACCTGGAGTGTCCTGTGGACAGAGACAACTATGAAAGCTTTTGGAGGCTTCTTGCGTACTATAGTGATGTGCCTGTGCATCTGCGAAGGGAAATCATGCTAAGTAGAGAGCCGCAGCTTAGCTACAGATACAGACAGGACATGGAAAGGGATGCCTATTTTTACTCTGGTGTCCGAGCCAATGTTGTAGCCCGTCCATCTTGGCTCATGCAGTCCTTCATGAACATCAAGTTAAACAGGCCTTATTCCTCCTCCAAGAGTGTGAGACTCATTCTAAACACTCATTTGACTACCACCACAGACAAGGAGCCCGTCAGATCTTGGGTCATGATTGAGCATGACAATAAAACCCAGACGAGCTTCAGTTCTGTTGTGGGTGGTGCGATTGAAATGGACTGCCGTGTGCAAAGCTCTGGAAACGCAGCTGTTCACTGGATGGCGCCCGATGGGTCAAAGATTAAAGCTGCGTTCGGCTCGACCGACAAAAGAGTGACTGTTTCTAGCAGCGGCAAACTTCACATTAAATCTGTCGAGCACAGAGACTCTGGAGTTTATTATTGCATTGCTGAGTTTGCAGGAGATATTGATGTTCTGCCTTTCCGTTTTTCCGTTATGGAGTCCTCAACCCCGCTTCCAGGTGAAGAATTTGGAAACGCTTTAACAAAGTTTGTTGGCGAGTCTGCATCTTTGCCCTGTCTTACTACGGCGACTTCAGATGCTGTGGTGAATTGGATATTTCCAGATGGCAGTGTACTGAATGCCAAAGCAAATACATCCAGGGCTTTAGTCTTTCCCAATGGGACTTTGTTCATTCCTTATAGTCAGCTTAACAATAATGGATATCACAAATGTGTCGCCATGAACCAACACGGTGTGGATGTACTGGCGACTAAACTAACTGTTATGAGGCGGAAAGGAATCCAGCCACTGCGACAGTATCCCATCAGGCCGCAGTCTGCCGCGGGAGTGTCAACTAAGGTAAAAGCCTATTTGGAGGATGTAGAGGAAGCTTCCGGAGATGAAACTCAAAAGAGAGCTGTACCAAACAGAAGCTTTATTAATCGAAGGAAGGGTCCAAATGCAAGAACGCAAGGACGTTCTTTTGGCAACATCCACCATAGGCGACCCTTTAGAAAGGGCATGCCTGGACAACCAAACAGAACTGGCTTAACAAACCAAAGAACTGTTAATACCAAGAACAATATAGACCCTCAGAAGTGGGCCATTCTTTTGGCCAAAATCCGTGAGAAAACCTCTCTGAGGAACTCATCAGTTAACATTGTCCAACATGGCACTGCAGAGACGGTGAATGTAGATCATCCGAGGTCGATTGACAACATTGAGAGTTCTTCTGGAGACTCCAGTCCAAAAGAAGAGTCAAACACTTTCAGCATGCCACACCAAACGGATGTTTACCACAGGCATGCAATTACACCTCATATCAAGGGAAAAAATAATAACATATACCTAACGGCTCCTCCAGAATTACAAACTAGCTCAGACGAGGTGCCTTACATCTCAAATCCCACATCTGGAGCCCATTATGTTATGACAGAAGTGAATGTTGTAGAAAGAGGCCATGTGAGCACCATAAGTGCCAAAAATGACCAAGTAAATTCCAGGTCTGTCATCAAAGCTGAGTCTGAGAATGAAAATGAGCTAAATTTCTCCGGAAAGACTAGCGTCCAGTCACAGATTGGGGGTTTTGATTTTGGACAGCCTGACAGCAATTCATTTGCTACCATATCAAGCCCACGTGCTTCACCAAGTTCAGCGCCGTCCAGAGCAAAAGCTCATTGGAACTCCAGGAGAAGATTTGGAGGTAGGCGACGAATAAAATTGAGAAGGCCGTTCTCAAAGCTTCCGACAAGAAGACGATGGTCAACCTCTACAGCTGCAGGAGTTCATGTTCCAACTTTGAAATCAGATCCGACAAGCCCAGCTGAAGACGCAATGATCCATCCAACCTCTACAACTACTGCTCATATTTACTCCAGAAGCCCATCTGGAGACACATTGATTCATCCATCCATAACTACTGCTCACATTTACTCCAGAACCCCATCTGGAGACACATTGATCCATCCAACTAGTACAACCACTGCTCACATTTTTTCCACAAATCCAGCTGGAAGCTCGTCAATCCATCCAACTATCCCAGTAACAGCTCACATTTACTCCACAACCTTAGCTGAAAGCACATCGGAATATCCGACTACTAGTCCCATTTATCCTACAGTGCCGATGGTATTCCCAAATGCCATAAATGAGGAAAACACTATCTCCCTCCCGGATGAGAAAACTGGTTCAAAAATCCACAAAGTAAAGGCAAGCAATTTCCTCCATATCCAACAGATGCCTCCAAACTCTAGAAGCCCATCTGCATCTCCCCCCATGAGCACAATATCAGAGTTTGAGAATGAAGACATTACTCCTTTCGAGGTGGAAGAGGACAGAATCATTGCATCTGCAGAGGAGATGGATGAGTACTCTGTTCCCACGAGTGTAGATCCGACATCTCGACTTGGCGTTGAAACCATTTCACTGACAACTGCCCAGCAGGATTTCTCAGGCATGCTTTCAACAGCGTTACCAAAGGCCAACAAAGAAATTCATCCAACAGAGATCAGCTTTACTTTGAACACAGACGGGCTGGATGTCTTCCACTTACCTGAATCACACTTCAGCAATGTTCTAAGAGAGAACTATACATTGGAAGTAAGTTCTACAGAAGAATCTTTAGTCACCTCCATGCCACGGCCCCAAGACTACCCTTCACAAACAAATGAAAGCTTTAAAGAAGAAGAATCCATTCACAACCAAGTATCTTTCCCTTCAACACCAGAGACACTTGCAGAATCCATAATATCTGTTGGGAGACAAACCGAGTCTTTAGCCACAAGTTCACCATCGCCTACTCTTACTACTCAAACCAATGAGATTTACTTCTTACAACCAAACTCTGTTTCTAAGCAATACCAGAGGGAAAGGTTAGTCCATGGACTCGATGAACCTTTGATTCCTCCTACATCTCTGAATACTTCACCCACAATTACATTACCAGCAACTACAGCCATAATTCCCATTACAACCCAACACATTGGAACAACAACAGCACCTACTACACTGTCGACAGCTGGTACTATTACTGGGCCTATTTCGACCACTTCAGCTACTACGATGACGACTACTACTACTACTACTACTACACCTGCTATAAAGTCAACACTTAGTTATCTCTTACCAGACAATAGAATCCCATTTTACTCAAGAAATCCTGGAACGAACTACATCGATTCCAGGCACAGGGGAAGATTTCCCAGCGCTAACCACAGGTATCCGTACTATAACAGTAGAAATCATTCTGTGAATATTAGACCTAATATTATCAGAAAACCTTCCGTCACCACCTCACCTGTTGATTTAAACTCTCTCACCAACGTCAAATCAACTACTACACCTAAGATATTGACAGCAACTGCTCGATCTGCTACCTCGAGTCCCACAACTGCGTCAAGCACCACACAGCCAAACAACCAAATTCAGATCGATGAACCAGTGAACAGACAGTCAGGTGCAATTCTGTTTCCTCAAGGACCGCAAATGAGGCCCAGGATCACTGCTGCCAAACTCCACACAGTCACTGTGAATGCTGGGACAGATGTGCAGTTACCATGTGATTCTGTGGGGGAGCCGAAACCCCTCCTGACCTGGACCAAAGTCTCCACAGGTAACTCACATATGACAAGTAGTTACAGTTACAGTACATTATATGCAGGACTTGGGAGTATAATTTTAATGCATAAACCTTGATATAGCGTATATAATGATTCTATTTTTTGTATATTTTTATTAATAAGTTCTGTATATTTTTCTATTAATTTATTTGACCGATTTAATGTCTTATTTGTTTTTAATATAAATTGTATATTGTTTTTTAAATCAATTTGACGCATTTATTTATTATTTACTTTCAATCACTGTGTGTGTGTGTGTGTGTGTGTTTTTTTGTGTGTTTTTGTGTGTATATGCTATTACTTTACAATATATTCATTATATTATAGAGACTAAACAGAGGTTATGTAAAGCTAACAATATTATCAGTGTTTTTGTACAACCTCTGTGCCTACAAATTTAAAGCATCTATTATATTTCTAAATTCTAAGGCCCAATTTCACAGACAGGGCTTAGACTAAGCCAGGATTAGGACATTGTTCAATTAGGAAATGTAAGTAATTTTTATTAACATGCCTTAGAAAAAACATTACTGGTGTGCATCTTGAGACAAAACAAAGGCACTGATATATTTTAAGATCAATCAGTGCAAGTTTCTTTCAGTTAAAACAGATCAGACTTACATTTTAGTCTGGGACTAGGCTTAAGCCTTGTCTGTGAAACTTGGGGGGTATATATATATATATTTTTTTTTAAACGTTTGTTGTCTTATTTGTTTTTTTATATATACATACATTTTGTATTGTTTTTTTTAATTAATCTGACACCTTTTTATTTGTTTTCAGTCTCTTTTTTTTGTATATATGTGTCTAAATGACTACAAGCAGCTTTTCATTGGTTTAAATTCATTGAACTCTCGACAGGAGCTGTCATATCAATAAATACCAAAATCCAGCGATTTGAGGTCCAGTCCAATGGAACGTTTGTCATCCACAGCGTTCAGCTTCAGGACCGCGGGCAGTATCTGTGCAGCGCTCGCAATCCACACGGCATTGACAAGATGATGGTGACCCTAGTGGTGTTGGCCCACGCGCCCAGGATGATGCCTCCACGTCATAAAGATATAACAGTTTATCCAGGAAACAGTGCTTTCTTGGAATGCCAAGCACAAGGCCTCCCAATCCCAAACATCAGCTGGGTGCTTCCGGATCGATCGGTAGTGCGAGCCGTTAGTAACAGCAAACAGAAGGTCATGCTCTTCACCAATGGAACGCTTCAAGTCAAAAACACCAATTACCCGGACAAGGGCGTCTACAAATGCATAGCGAGCAACGCCGCTGGAGCCGACATGCTTTCCGTAAGGCTCCAAATCGCAGCCTCGCCTCCCACAATCCAAGAGCAGCTCTGGGAGAACTACACCGTCTCTGATGGCCAATCAGCTATCATGCACTGCACCGCTAAAGCCACACCCGATCCGACCATCCGCTGGGTCACGTTTACCAGCACACAGCTTCGCCCCTCGCAGTTCATCAATGGCAATTTGTTCGTTTTCCCCAACGGGACGCTGTTTATCCATAACCCTGCAGAGAAGGATTCTGGGAATTATGAATGCGTGGCTGTGAATTCGGTGGGTGTTGCTAAAAGGACTGTGAATCTGCAGGTGAAGAAAAGCTCCACTACTGCCAGAATCATGTCCACATCTGCACACAGTACAGATGTCCGCTACGGAGGTCAGCTGAGTCTCAGCTGTTCGGCCACTGGAAGCCCCAATCCCAGGATCATCTGGAGGACGCCGTCTAAAAAACTGGTTGATGCATATTACAGGTAAAATAATTGCATATTACTACATTTTCATTGGGGATGCAGCGAAATGAAAATTCTTGGCCGAAGCCATTAACGAACAAGATGAAACACTGGGTCGAATATTGAACTTTTTTTTCCCCCATGTCAATTTTTTTTACCATTGCATAAATTAAATAGCCTAAATGTGCTTTTTACTGTTGCTTTTCAAAGAAAAATTCAATTACAGAACAACAATTTAAAAATATTTATGTAATACTGAACATTTTTAACATTCTATCAGACATTATATCAACAAAGCACAATTTAACTTAAAATTAATAAGTTAGTAAAACAATATTTGTTGGCCATTTTTTGAAACCCCCTCCTTGAATCAGGCATGCATTTTTACTGTACAAATAAATGCAGCCTTCACTGTAAAAAATAAATCAAAAGTTGAGAACTTAAACGTTTAAGGCAACCAGCTTCAGGAGATGTTTGCGTTTTCTCAACTTGTTGTTGTATAAACTGAAAACTCAAAAATGCCCTGAAGCTGGTTGCCTTAAACTTTTACGTTTTCTCAACTTTTGATTTTTTGCAGTGTTGCTGAGCAGAAGGGACTTCTTTTAAAACACTAGAAAATATTACAGATCTCAATTTGAACACAATGGGCACCACACATATGGATTTTACTGTCTCTGGCTCTCTTTGGAATTATTTTGAATCTCTCCATATACACTGTTGGTTACAGAGCATGATTAACCGAATAGCAAAACAACATATTGTGTATCATGTAATTAATTACAGAGGACAGAAGAAACTAAATGGATACAGAGGGAAGACAAAAAGAACATTAATCAAATGCAGAGAAGAAAGCCCAGTTCTTCTGAATTAACAATTTTTTGCCCAAAAACATCATAAACCTAAGTTAGAAACCGTGAACACCAATGGTCTGTATGATCTGTTTTGGCTTATGATGCTTTTTGGAAACACAGCCTTGATTAGTAAATTTGTGGTTTTGGCACAATTGCATTTTTTGATACGCTTTGATAAAATGTCATGTGGTGCTACTAAAACAGAAATCCTTTTATATATGTGCAGCTTTACAGATGTACAAACAGGCATTGCTGACGTGTAAATGTGGGCAGTAGTTTGCTTATATCTGGTGTTTCTGACACTAGAAATCAAGGATTTCAGAATGTCTTTTTTTTGTTTGTTTGTTTTCACTAGAATGAAGTTTTGAGTTCTTAAAATAATTATCTTGATATGAACCAGAGCTCAAACACATTTTAATCAATATTTCTGCTCCCATGAGAATATTGGTTTGCTCTGGTTTTTAAATAAGTTAATCCAAATTTAGTTTTATAATTTGTAGGGAAAAATGGATCTTAACTCTTTCCCCACTAGCGTTTGTATGAAAAAGTTGCCATTATTGATAATTTTTACAAAATGTTCATGGCCCACAGAGTATTTTGAATATCTGAACATGCAATATGTCAAAAGAAAGAACTCAATTTAAAATTTTAAATAATTAATGTTAATTTAAAAAAAAAAAATCATTTTTCTAGCTTTATGCATTCTTTTTTTAACAACACTTGAATGTGGGCAAGTTTCATAATTGAAAAAAATAAATAAAAATGTTTTAACAAAAAGCTGAGCAAATGGCGTTTTTGTTAAAGACTATGTTTGGATCTGATTTAGATCGATGATAAAAACATAGATAAAGTTGATCACTTCCATCAACACCCCCAAAGCTTCACAGTACTAAACCACTTCCTCTGTCAAAATTTCATTCAGTAACTTTAATAAGGTTTGTTTTATATGCTGTTAAATGTTTGATGATCGTGTTATTTTGCATCAGTTTCTGCTGCTTCTTCACCGTGTTTTGGTCCAGGGATTCAGTACTCTTTTAGAAAATGTGTAATGGCGCCCACTACTGTACACCAGTGAAAACACAGAAAAACTGAAAATTCAGTCAATGGCGGGGAAAGAGTTTTTAGTTCTATTCCAACTTTTAAATAGCTCAAGTATGGTTTTTGCCATGATAACAGCGGAAAAAAACTGGCATGGTGTTAAAAAACAAGCAAATATGATATGAGCCCTTTAATAAATGATTTCAGAGTAAGTCGTTTTTTTGCATTTTTGTTGCAATAAATACTGCTTTTTCCACTGGAAGGAAGTTTTGAGTTCTGAAAGTATTTTTTTCCCCCATTGTGCAATGAACTCTTTAATCTCAAAAGATCAAGGAAAATTTGATTCCTCAAATTATAATAAATTATCCATTTACTAGTGTCACACTTATCAGAATGTAACCTCTTTTTATCCCTCGTTTCAGCTTTGATCGCAGAATGAAAGTGTTCGGCAACGGCACGCTCACCATCACGTCAGTGACCGAGAAGGATGAGGGAGACTATCTCTGTGTGGCCAGAAACAAAAGGGGCGACGACTACGTCCTCCTTAAAGTCAATGTGATGATGAAAGCGGCTAAAATCGACCACAAGTCACTGAGCGATCACGAGGTGTCGTTCGGAGGAGAGCTGAAAGTCGACTGCGTCGCTTCTGGTCTTCCTAATCCAGAAATCACGTGGAGTCTCCCAGATGGTACCATGGTCAACAGCATCCCTCAATCTGACGATAACGGGGTTCGTGCCAAGAGATACGTGATGTTCGATAATGGCACACTGTATTTAAACGAAGTTGGAATGAAGGAGGAAGGCGACTACACGTGCTATGCCGAGAATCGGATTGGGAAAGATGAAATGAAGGTTCATATCAAGGTGGTGGCGGATGCACCGATCATCCAAAGCAACGTTTACAGCATCGTCAAAGTTCCTTACGGAGAAACCGCCGTCCTCAACTGCAGTGCCAAAGGAGAGCCAACTCCCATAATCACATGGACGTCTCCGGCTCATCGCGCCATAGTGCCAGTTTCCCACAAGTACCAAATCGTCAACGATGGCACTTTGCGCATTCAAAAAATCCAGAGGTTTGACAGCGGGAATTATACGTGCTCAGCTAGGAACGTTGCGGGAATTGACAAGAAAGTCGTTCACGTTGAAGTCCTTGTGTCAACGCCGGTTATAAACGGATTTGAGAGTCTTGGGGTCATTCGTAAAGCTGTGGTAAAGGATCAGCGCGTACTTTTAGACTGCAAACCAAACGGAAACCCAATTCCGAGGATCATATGGGTGTTTCCCAACAACATTGTGCTTCCAGCGCCGTACTACGGCTCGAGTATTACGGTTCATCGCAACGGCACGCTGGACATCCACGCGGTGCGGATAAGCGATTCCGTCGCGCTTCTTTGCATCGCACGTAATGAAGGAGGAGAAGCCAAACTCCAGGTTCAACTCGAGGTGACCGAAGGAGTTGAAAAGCCTCGATTGCGAAATCCGCCTACAGAGTCCGTCCAACTCTCCGATGGGATAATAAATCTAAATTGTTCCGTAGAAGGAAAACCGTCGCCGGAGATCACTTGGATTCTCCCGAATGGGACGTCGCTTCTTAGGGGAACTAGTATTTTCCGTTTCCATCATCGATTTGATGGGACTTTGGTTATTAGAGACCCGTCGGTTTCCGAGATCGGACGGTATCAATGCGTCGGGCGCAACAACGCCGGATACGTCGAGCGAAACGTGACATTAGAGTCCAACAGAAAACCGGAAATCACTAACAAGTACAGCTCACTCGTCAGCATCATAAACGGCGAGAATCTGCATCTCAACTGTTTGTCCAGTGGTCAGCCGTTACCTGAACTTACCTGGACTCTACCGAACGGAGTCGTCCTAACCAGGCTGCAGACAACCGGACGCTATTCGGTCCTAAACAACGGCACTCTTGTTGTCCAAAGGACGTCTGTGTACGATAGAGGGATGTACCTCTGCCAAACGACTCATGAGCATGGATCGTCCAGCCTGTCGGTTTCGGTGATAGTAATTGCGTATCCGCCGCGGATAACCAAAGGACCCTCGCCGGTGACTTACGCTAGTCCAGGTGTGGCCGTTCAGTTAAACTGCGTTCCTCTCGCTACACCTAAAGCCGAGGTGGTTTGGGAAATGCCTGACGGTCTTCAGCTGAAGGTTGGCATCCAGCCGCGACTTTATGGAAACAAGTATCTCCATCCGCAAGGTTCACTGGTCATTCAGAACCCTTCCGGCAGAGACAATGGCGTTTATAAGTGCACCGCCAAAAACGTGGTCGGTAGCGACAGCAGATCAACTTACGTCTATGTGTTTTGATGCAAACTAACTTTACAGACAAGCCCAAAGAACTGCGTTAAGACTGTTCGTACAAAAATATACATCATCTTTTGGAATCACTTTCTACTGACTCTTGTAAATATGAAAGCGTGATATTTTAATCCCCTTCAAATGAAGCGACTCTGGAGTATCTGTACGTTAATGGATGTTCATTAATGCTCTTTGGGAAGTAAACTGATAATCAAGCTCACATGGAATTTGCACCAATAGATCTCTTCAAAATTCACTAAATTCTACACATGGTTGTTTGTTTATTTGGTAACACTTTACTTAAAACCTGTATGTATAATGCATTATAAAAGTAGTTTTAATGCATTGCCAGTTAACACTTTATAACACTATGCATGTTACACTATGCATTTTAAATTTGGTAATTTACAACGCACATTTTGAGTAATTATAATGCATTATACCCCCTAATAACCCTTTACCATGCATTATACATAAATGCTTTAAGTAAAGTGTTACCATTTATTTAATATCTTTGCTATTTATGTTGTGCTTTTAGTTATCAAGAAGCATAAGCTCCATTTAACACATTTTACCATGATTAATTTAATTGTTAATGCTTTACAATAACGTTCAGATTGCCAACTACATTGAGCATCAGCTAAGATGATTGATTATATGATTTAGAATTTCTGTTATTATTAGTTTAATTTTATAATTGACTAATATATTATTGAAATCAAAAGTTGTATCTCTTAATATTATTTAACGCACCTGAACTAACATGAACTTACCGTGAACAGCTGTTTTAATTAACACTGAGAAAGGTTAAATAAATGATGTAACAAATGCATTGCTCATTGTTGCAGTGGGACTAACTAATGAGACTTTTTTTGGAAAGTGTAACCAATTCATTCATAGAATCCTGCAGATTTTTGCCCCTACATTATTTTCACATTTTACATGCATTCATTTAGCAGATGCTTTTTTCCAAAAAAAAAAGAAAATTTTTGAAAATATAGTGAAAATGTTTTGTTATATTAAATCAGGGATTCCTTCCAGTGCACATTATTAAGTTTTCTTTTTTCTTTTGTCACATTAACAATGATGTTGCACTTCTGAGGTTGAGAAACTGTGGTCGTGCTCACCTCAACACTGTGCCAGGAGCTGATTTAATACACGAATGAACACAGAAAAACGAATCTGTATTTGGATCTGTTCATTCCTTCTCGGTGTATCATCTTTCATTTATTTTAATTAATTATTTGTCTTTTTTTGTCTAAAAACTAACCCACATCCACAATTGTATTATTTATAAACACAGCAAACAGTACTTTGGACTGGTTTTATTTTGAATAAATACTGTTTTCATACTTCTTTAGTAATTTGTAAACATATGGTGCTTTAATCTTACAACAAAAAAAAGCACATCTGGACGTAAAGAGCTAAAGAACTACATTTATATGATTTTATTGCTAATTTAATTTGACACACATATACTGTACTATAGTAGTATGTCTACTACTTCTATATACAGTATAAAGTTCAATGCACACTACTATGCAGTATATTTTTCCCCTCAATGTTTTTTGTCAAACTGTATAGTGTGGTGGTCAAGATTGACAGCACTATTTGGGATTTTTACATCAGTCTTCTCGTGTGACGCCTTTATTAATATGATTTTGAAATTATAACACAGTTCTTAAAGGAATAGTTCAGCCAAAAAATTATATTTGCTGAATTTGTTCTCACCCTCAAAATATGCTTTGTACCTTACAATGTACTGATAATCACCATAACAACACACACTGATGCACATAATAATATTTAGACCTAAATTGAAAATATTTCTATTTATATTTCCATGCATTTTGGATTACACCATTTTGACATAAACAGAATAATAAACGTAATGTGATGCATATTTGCCAGCTTTGTATATTTATCATCAGTAAAGCCAATCTCATACATTGTAACTAATTGAATATTGACAGTATTTTATAGTAAAATTGCATATAATGTCATGTTAAACCATGTTTCACTGTATAAGTTAACCAGTTAACAGATTTTTGCTGCACCATAAAAAAATATTTAAATATAAATGATCTTGTATCTCATTAATTCTGAGTTATTTCAGATGTCTTCACAATTAAGGGCAAACTGGGGAATTGAATGAGAAGGCAATAACTGGCTTTTGGCCTATTTCTCCTTTTCCATTCCCAGAGTGCATTTCTCTTCATATTTAATGATTTATAAACAGCCGCTCGAGCACAGCTGACCTTGACTTGAAGCAATAGTGACGACAACAGCTGTCAGGTTTATTATAGACTGTTGTAACTGGTTTATATGCTTATCTCAGTTCCACGTAGAGCGATAAAACATACATTTACTAAAAACAATTAGACTGTTTGCATATCTCTTTATAATAAGTCATAATTGAAAGAAATGAGCTCCCAGCTCTTACAGGTTCATGTCTAAACCAGCCTGAAGAGTTCTGATAGTTTAAGAATCATGGCTTTATGGTTAATAAGGTCAAAAAGCAAGAGTCCAAGAGGAAAAGTAGCTGTTTCTGAGTCACACGTCTGAGATTTATGTCTCGTTCCTCCCAAAATCCTGCCCTGAAGTTTGCTACACATCTCTGAAGCTTCATTAAGTCTCGTTAGTTTACTGGAGAGCTTCATCAGAACAGCTGATCTCAAGGCTTCTCCTGGCTTTATTGCACTACAGATCTATATTATTTACAGTCAAATGGCAAGTAATGCTAAATAATAATAATATGTGATAGTGATTTTGTTATACTTCAAGTCAGCACCTTTTAGGGAGGGAAAAATCATTAAATGCATGCAAACAGACGTGCTTTTACAGTACACATGCAAAAGGTGATTTTCTCTTGCATTTTTATTGTTTCCTATGCAGTACAAATGTCTAAATATTCTTAATTCAAGACACATTTACTTGAGAAGCAAAATGGCTTATGATAATTAGTCTTGTTTTCTGAAAAACGTATCAATATAAACTTATTTTATGCCTGAATTGAGAAAAAAATATCAGTAACACTTTACATATAACGCATTATAAAAATATGTTTAATGCATGAAGGATGCAGCTTATTAATAATGCATTGCATGATCTCATGAATAATTGCAACCACAGTCATAATACATTGTTTCACCTTTAAAAATCTAACGCATTAAAACACACGACAAACAACGAATTTCAGATGCAACAAGAAATCATCAAATATTATAATGCATTTTAACTTTGGCTACAATTATTTATGAAAACATATAATGCATTACAACATACATAATGAACACCTTTAAGGCTTCAAATAAAGTGTTATGAAAATATCTGCCAATGTTGTAAGAAAAATGAACTTAACTTGAGTTTATTTTCTAACACCATTGGCAGATTTTTTTATTTTTCATTTTTATTGCATAAACTCACTTCATTTTGATTCATTGTCTAAGAAAACAGGACTCTTTGTGTCATTTTGCTTTGCAAGTAAATGCATCTTGATTTACGAAGCTTTTATATATATAATATACATAATATATGCATGTATAATATATAATGCATTATAATATATATATATATATATATATATATATATATATAATTCTCTAAACTCTTTTGCTCATGGTCTTATTCATCAACCATTTGCAATCCATTTGAACAGGGTGCTATCTGTGCTAGTACAGCATTGTGCCATGCATACAGTATTTAAATGAAATGACTGTTGTTATTTTTAGTGGAAACACATAATCCTACATAAATTATATTTTTTATAGATCATGCTTTTTTCACAGATAAATCAGCACTTTTTGCCTGCCGCAAATAGCATCTAATTGTTTTGTTGCAAAGAAAAAATTTATACAATCTATATAATATATTATAATATATATATATATATATATATATATATATATATATATATATATATATATATATATGCATTATATAATGCATTTTAATAATAATATGTATTAAAAATATGACAAGCAACCAATTCCAGATGTAACAAGGTGCCTGCAAATATTATAATGCATTTTGACTTTCCATAAACTCACTTCATTTTGATTGATTTTCTAAGAAAGCAGAAAATGCTTTGCAACTAAATGCATCTTGATTTAAGAAGCTTTTATATATAATATACGTTATATATGCATGTATAGTATATAATGCATTATAAAAATATTTATTGCATTATGCACCTCATAATGCACTGTATTATCTCATGAATAATTGTAACCAGTTATGATAAAAATGATAATGTAGTAAAAATATGACAAGCAACCAATTTCAGAAGTAACAAGGTGTTTGCAAATATTATAATGCATTTTGACTTTGTTTACAATTATTTATTAAATGATATAATGCATTGCAACGTACATTATGAACACCTAGTAAAGTACCAAAGTATCTGTCAATGGAGTATGAAATTTGTTTCGTTTTCTGATGCCATTGCAGATATAATTTAAAATTATTTGCCAAGACAACATTCTCATTTCAATTTAGTTTATCGTGATACACTTCAGAACTAATACCAAACCGAAATTAAAATGTATAACTATAACTACAAAAAATGCAAAAATGCACATAGAAATGACTAAAACTTTAACTAAAATTAAAATGAAAACAGAAAATAAAAATATGATTCAAAATAGTGTAATAGTATCTGAATGATACTAAAATAACCCTGATGCAGCAATATTAGTATGTCTTCCGCTTGCTAATATTTCTCTCGTCAAACAAACACAATTTCTGTCATCTGTGCACACACTAATTGTTAATTAAAAGGATTCAATCCTGCATTTAAATGCAGTTCATTTCAGCAACGAGCCAGTCGCATGAGACACGATGAAAATCTAGCCGACTTTTCTCATTTTTGTTTAGTTTAACTAAAATAACTAAATCAAAATGAACTAAAACTATCAAATAAAAACTATATAGACATGTTTTAAAAAAATAAATTCATAAAAATAACAAATGCAAAAATGTTTCTAAACCAAAATTAAATTGACAACAGAAAGCACAAAAATAAGAA